CTCCCAAAATGTATTTTATCATTACTTTGTGTCTATTTAAGCTTGGATTTACACTAAAGCTACATTGGATAAAGTGTGAGGATAATTTCAAGCGGATACAAATTTTCTAATTTAAGCTATTCTTATTTGAGGCATGATCCGATCAATTTAAGTCTGGTATAGCCGTGTAGCTAGACCAGTCTAGTTAGAATTAGTATAGTCTTGTGTGGTCTAGTCTGGTATGTTCTCTGGTATGTTCTGTTTAATTTTACTCGGTTCTAGTCTGGTATGTGATGGTCTACTCCAAGATTGAACTCAGTCCAATTTGAAACATTTTGTCTTTTATGATTTTTAAGGATTTTTTAAAATATTACAAAATTTATGGATAGAAATGTGGTCGAACTTATTATAAGGTGTAAAATTCAACACAATCATACTTAACTTCGTGTGTGTGAACTTGCTCTTTTTAAATTTAGTCCACCATGCTATGGTCTTACACGGAGTATCTAATATAATCTTTCTTTAGCTTACTCCAACACAAACTTTGAATCCTTGTTGTATTTAAAAATAGATATCTATCTCTAAGAGATTTTTAGTTTAATTTGCTTTTGGTAGTCAGTATAATCCCATTTTATTCTCTAATTCGATGTACTGTATGTCATCATTTTTTGTTAGGATTTTGTTACTCAATATAACATTTAACCTAGTTTCAAATGTATACATTTTTAGTATTAATACTAACTTAAAAATTGTTACGAAATTAATTTTATGCTTTAATAATTAATTTTACATACAGGCGACTTTGTAATCTGTTTTTTACAAATCAATATAGGCCAGACGGCATGCAGAGGCTGGAGGGAGTCATATAAGACATAAATGCAAGCTTGCAACTTAAGAATGAAGAGAGTAATATAACTATGTAATCATTATACAATAACATACTGAAAATAAGTCAATTGTGATTTGACAATTTTCACGTCTTGCTAGAATTGGATGTTTGCAACTTCAAGAACCCGGTCTCAATTTACATTGTTTGATGAAAATGACCAAGTCCAATACATTTAGTCAATTTAAGATCGATCTATTTTTGTCACATTTATTAGTTCCAATTTAAGAAAATAAAGAAATAAGAAACATATATATAATTTGGTATGGCAAAATTGCCAATTATGAATGTACTTTTTGTTGAAATTTTCAAGTAATAATAAATATGGCGTGCCACGAAAATACTCCTCCCCAAGACACTTGAGAAGGGCATCAAGTTATCCATTCCAACACTGGATTCCATGTGATATTTGGATTATTTCAATGGCATTAGTACTGTGTAACATGTAATCAATCATTCCAGCAATAATAAAATCGTTGAAATAGAACATGAAAAAGCAAAAAAATTACAAAAATGTTTGGAATAAGAGTTCCTATTATAGTATTATATTCCGATCATTCTATTCTTCTAAGCTTTAATATGAGATACTATACCCAACCTTCAATAGTAAAAAAATAGACTTAATTATATTATAAACCTTATGCTTAAAATGTGTACTACATACATTACACTAATCAATCGAATTGGTGTTGAGTTTGATCATTAAGAATTTAAGATAGGTCAATTTGTTTGTTTTAAGGGTGATTCATGAATCTGATTGACATCTTTTTGGGTGTTTGATATGCAATTTGTTTGTATCTTAAAATAATATATCAAGTATCCATTCAATCGAATATATGATACTCCGTACTGATAATTAGACAAGTCATACAATATAATAATCGATATCATACACTAAAAACCAAAAAGTGCTATTGATGCAATTAACTTTCCACCCACAAAAAAACAAAACAAAAAGAGGGGAGGTAAAGATATAGTTTTCGTATCCACATGAGGACGCAAGATAATTAAAGAAACATGCAATCTACAGTAGTTAGTAGTTGCCTATTTTGAAGACGAATTTGGCATATATTCTCACGCAAATGATATTAGGAATATATATTGGCATTTCATGCATGTGGCTTGGCCTAGGCGTGTTTGGCCCCTCCCCATTTTCACCTTCCCTTAGTCCGACCGGTTTAAAGCGCTTACATTGCAGGCCCATCAAATGCTATATAAGTTCCAGCTGACTCAAAATAAGGAAAGTAAAGGGTAATGTTTGCCCTTATCTGGCCCAGGCCAAACTAGTATTGTCTGGTCTTATCTGGTTGACTTAAGTTAGTTTGATGTAGGTGATCTATTTAATTCTTGTCTAATAAAACATACTCCGTTTGTCCCTTATGACTGTTTTAACAAGAATTTAACTGATCTAAATGAATAATTGAATGGGTAATCAAGCAATATAGAATCGGTAATGGGTAAATTGATGAAGGGAAATAACGTGATTAGTAATAATAATAGTGCGAATGAGTGGAATGAGCAGTATGCTTTGTATACAGAATGTTTAGCAATTGATCGTATGAAATCTCCCTCTTTCCTACATGGGTGGTGACTTAGTATATTTATTAGATGGGTTCTTTACTCCTTCCCCAAGTTTAGCAGTTACCCCTATTTCTTCTCCACGTTTAACCACCCTGCACTTCCGTTGCTCGACTCCTTAGACTGATTCTCGATGCTGCACGTTTCCTTCAAATCTTATCTGATAGCCAAGCCCTTGTAACCTTTTCAATTAATCCACTCGTGCCAGCCCAATGCAAAGAGAATCCTCGGGCCCAATACAAGGAGAATTCTCAGGCCCAACAATTGCCCCCTTTCGAGAAGTTGAAGCGTGTGTCGCACATGTCGACTCGTTAAGCGTCAACTTGTCGAAATCTTGAAAACTTTGATGTCTGTCATCCATGAATATTACCCATGTAAACTCGTAATCTGTCTGATCAGACATGCTGTCAACCTGTCATTCGTATAAAAAGACACTTTTGTCAACTCGTCACTTTTCTGACGACATGTTTCCTTCAACCCGTCACTCTTTTGATGAAATGACTTCGTTAATTCCGTGCAAGTAGTTTTTAGATCGAATTTGTCTCCTTGAGTGAGGTGACGAAGATCGAAGGCTGGTCTCCTATCATCTTCCTCCCAATTTCTGCTAATGATCGTATCTAAGCAATGCTGACAAGTTGAAACTTCGTCCAGGTAGATGTCGACACTTCGGTTGGCAAATGTGATTTCGTCCCTCGTTGTATAAGTGAGGGGTTTGACTCTGTGAATGTAACCGTAACCTGTAAAAACTTTAAACACCATTTTGTTTGTTGTTTTAATAATATCGTCGACATGAATTTCTATGATGTTGTCCCCTTATGTTTTGGAGCTTGTGTTGTCGTGCTCTTAGAGCATGTGCTTCTGTGGTGTATTTTTCTGTAGTTTTGGATGTGGTTGTTGTTCCACATAATAATATCACTTGTACGTGTACTGTTGTTGTTTTGTGTTTGTCTGATTTTGATGTTGTCAGCATTTGTGATGTATGATCTGTCTGTCGTTTTGGCCAAAACATTGATGAGAATCGATGGTGTTTATACTCATGTTTAGCGTACATGAAAACCCCACTTCTTCCCCTAAAATTCTGTAAGCCCCCTGTCAATTGTGTCTTGACGTGTTGTAAGGCTTTGTCTGATATAAGCCCCCCGTCAATTGTGTTTTGACGTATTGTAAGGCTTTGCATGTTAGGATTCCGTCATCGTCAATTCTTGACTGTACCTGTGCAATAAATATTTTGCTAACGTCGGCCGTTGGCTAAAAGCCAACGGCCCTCCGATGCTTAAGTTAGTGATCGTTTGTGGATAAATGAAAGTAATCAATTGAGAATACGTATATGAAACTAAATATCTATCGTGAGAACCTGTCTATCGTCAGACGATTTCAATCGTCTCGTCAGGTTTATTACCTGACAACTTCAGTCATGTCGTCTGGTCTATTTTATCACGTTAGTGATGTCAATATGCAAAAGAAAATTATTAAAAGTGAAACAATTTTAAGTGTACCGTATTGCAGCTCTTAAGAACCTATCTACCATCGGACGACATGCACCCCGTCCGACGACTTCGATCATGTCGTCTGATCTACCTTGTCACAGAAATGATGACTTATTCCTCAGGCCTCGAATAAGGCTTTCCATGCTTGTAGTCATGTCTCCTGGGAGGTTCTGACTTTCCGTGCCCCCCGTCTTGTTCAATTTGTCTATGACGACATCGTAAGTCTTCTTCTAGACGGATGAAAGCCAGTGCCCTTACTTGGACATCTTCGAAGGACCGACTAGGGTGTTTCGTCAACTCCTGATATAACTCTGAATCCTCCAGCAGTCCCCTTCTAAATGCTTCAATTGTCGTCGGTATGTGACACCTGGGGATTGACACCTTCTCCTTGTTGAATCGGTGCAAGTAATCCCTTAAGGGTTCATTTCCTTGCTGGACTACTCGGTAGAGGTCACTAGTTTGCTTCTCTAATGCTCGGCTGCTTGCAAACTGCTGATTGAATAAGTTGACCAGCTCCGCAAATGAATTGATGCTGTCGTTCGGCAGATTGACGAACCATGTCAACGCTGGTCCTGTCAACGTTGTCCAAATGCCCGGCACATGCAAGCTTCTCTCTGATGCGGTCTGACCGAGACGGCCAACATTTGTTGTTTGTACTGAGCGACATGTTCCACCGGATCAGAAGTCCCATCGAACAGTCTCATTGAGGGGGCGGCGAACTTCCTCGGAATCTCGACATCGGTGATATGTCGTCCGAAGGGTGAGTCTGCGTAACAGGTTTGCGTCGCCATGTCAAGCGGACGTGGGACTCCAGGTATGCTGTTGAACTTCTCTCGCAATTCCCTCAGTTCCTCCATGATGACGGCCAAGGGATATGTCAAGTTTGTTTTTTTTGTTTTTTTTTTTTTTTTTTTTTTTTTTTTTAGACCCGGAAGGCAAACCACCTAAGTCGGTGGGGCAAATGCCGGGGAACATTTGCCGGATTTTATTAAAAATGAAACAGAAATACAAATAGAGAGGGGGACCAAACCAAAACCTCTCCGGAAGAGGCATACCTCTTCGAAATACATGGAATAATAAAAACGAAACCAGATAAGAATAAATTCATTGGGGGGGCTAGACCTGACCCAATGAAAAATACAACAAAAATTAAAAAATTCTAAAATAACTAAGACCAAGTTTATCTGTAAGTAGAGCTTTCTTAATATGGCAAGGAATGTCAACATAATTAATAATAACATTAAATTTATCTGAGTTGCATCTAGATAAGAAATGAGCGGGCCAATTTCCTTCCCTCAATACATGTCCGAACCGAACAACACCAGTTATGTCAAGTTTGTTTGTATCTGCGGATCCGCTCCTTCGGGAGACGAATATATGGTGACGACCTCTGGCTCCTGACAGCTTCGATCAATGATGTCGACATGTCTGGGGATGTCGACATGGCTTGGAACTTGTCGCCTCTGGTTGTTGATGTCGACATATCTGGGAATGTCGACATGATTTGGAACATGTTGTCTCTGGGGCTGTGCAAACAGATTTCGGAATATGTTCCTTCTGGGATTTGGGGGTGGAAAGGAACGAGTTGATGGGCCTGCTCCTCCAGATGTGTCGGCCCCGAAGTGAGGGATGAAAGGTTCGGTTGAAGCCGGAATCGAACCCGTGTCCAGTCTCGTTGCCATGGTAGCCACATCTTCGCCCCGTCGTGAGCTTGAGGCTATGGATGCCACCGATTGCACCTGAGATCTCAAAGCGTCATTTTCACCTTGGAGGAAGACGATTCGTTGACGCATTTCCTCCCGGACAGCTTCTAATTGTGCTGCGTCAGAACTTTTGGATGCGCGGAGCTCTTCTCGGACGGCTTCTAGTTGTGCTTGAATCTCCTCTATCAAGGTGTTTGAAGCTTTGGCCATAGTTGATTCTCTTTTTGCAAGAATTTCCCACAGACGGCGCCAATTGTTTTAACAAGAATTTAACTGATCTAAATGAATAATTGAATGGGTAATCAAGCAATATAGAATCGGTAATGGGTAAATTGATGAAGGGAAATAAAGTGATTAGTAATAATAATAGTGCGAATGAGTGGAATGAGCAGTATGCTTTGTATACAGAATGTTTAGCAATTGATCGTATGAAATCTCCCTCTTTCCTACATGGGTGGTGACTTAGTATATTTATTAGATGGGTTCTTTACTCCTTCCCCAAGTTTAGCAGTTACCCCTATTTCTTCTCCACGTTTAACCACCCTGCGCTTCCGTTGCTAGACTCCTTAGACTGATTCTCGATGCTGCACGTTTCCTTCAAATCTTATCTGATAGCCAAGCCCTTGTAACCTTTTCAATTAATCCACTCGTGCCAGCCCAATGCAAAGAGAATCCTCGGGCCCAATACAAGGAGAATTCTCAGGCCCAACAATGACTTTGCCGAACTTGACTCACAAAGTTAGTGGGACGACAGACAATCAAAAAAGAAAAGTCAGTAAAGTTATAAGGGAACTCTATCTTTGATAAGAAATTATTATGAAATGTTATCTTCAAGAGTTTATCCCTTAGATAGTCCCTAAATAATCTGGTTTAGCATAAGACGTAATGTACATTCATTATATTTTAGGTTAATTAAAGTAGTATGAAAAAAAGTACTAGTACTTGAGAGCGTTTTCATATAAGGATAGTGTTTTATCACTTCCCAAAGTCACCACATGTTTGAAGTTTGTTATCTTGCGGGGTTCGAAGCCTAGCTCCGTTAGAAACAGTTAGGTTGACATTAAGTGCGATCAACTGAGGAAGGCGATGAATAGTAACTCTACTTTTCAGGTGTTTGTAACACAATTAGACTTCGCACCTCGTGAATAATAACAGACTTAAAGCATAGGGACAACCTTTATAAACAATGAAACTCGGATCAGATCCTTATCTTAAAACACTCCCAATCACAAGTGCATTTTCTGTACTTTTCTCTTGATTCTATTATAACTACTCTAGTTACTAAGAGCTCATTTGGTAACACTGAAATCGGTTGAATCGATTGATTCTACTGAAATTTATGAAGTTCTGGCTGAAGTGACTGTATTGGCTGATTCTACTGCTTTATGAAAAAACTATATTTAAAATAAATTTTATTAATAAAATAAAGAAAAAATTATATGCAAAAGAGCTAAAATGGTAATCTACAATAACTTTAGCCAATACAATTGGAAAAATACCTCCAACCTTATTTCTTCTTATTATTACAGAGTTCAGCTCACGAAATCAAAATTTACGTGTTTGATTAAAAAGTTGGCTTATAAGACTGATACGCCGAAAAACAGAGTTAACAAAAGGATACTAAAATAAATAGTGCTCTAAAATAAACAGAGTAAGGGCCTGTTTGGTAATAGCTGCAATGGCTGAAATGGCTGCAATGACTGAAATTGCTGAAATTATTGAAGTGAAAGCGTTTGGTTATACTTTGACTGAAGTGGTTGATTGAATGTATATTTACCAAAAAGGGCATTTTCTTATTTGTATTGAAAATATATGTAAATTAACTTTGCAAGTAAAATCTTTTTACTGAAATGAGTAAATTTATATCAAAAGTTACGCTTTTATAAGGATGATGGAGTTGATCGAGCGGATAGCTATTGCTGGAGAGGGGAGATCAATGGAGATTATTCAGTCAAAAGTTGTTATAGACTCATAGTTGGCAACTCGCAAGAGGAAGATGAGGATGGCTGGCGCCACATTTGGGAAGTTAAGGTACCCCCTAAATTTAAATATTTTATTTGGCAGGTTCTCGACGGGTCCATGCCTACAGTGGTCGATGGGTCCATGCCTACAGTGGATAATCTTCGAAAAAGAGGGACAATTATTCAGGGTGGGGGTAAACTGTGTGATGATACCTCGGAGTCACTTGATCTCGCATTCCGGGCGTACAGTTGGGCGAAGGAAGTGTGGCAAGCTGCGGATTTTTCAGTTATGGAGGGGACACCGTTTGAAGTTTGACTCAGGCAGCATGTCTCGGACAAGGATAAGGAGAAGAGAAATAAATTCATTGCTACCATGAGGGGTATATGGAAGAGAAGAAATAATGCAGTATGGAAGGATAAAAAAGATAATGCCACAAATGTGGTTAACTCAGCGGCTGGGATGCTAGCGAGCTGGCAGGGAGCTCAAGACCTCATAATTATTCCGAGGACTGGTCTGGGAGGAGGGGATATTCCGCAAACAGCAACTGGGCAAGAAAAGGTCAAGTGGAAGAAGCCGGATGAAGGATTTATTAAAATTAATGTTGACGGAGCAGTGAATGAGCCTGAGAGAATTCGGGCCTGGGGCTGGGTGGCTCGGGATGATCTTGGTAATTTTATTAAAGCAGGAGGGGGATCAAAGGGTGTTAATTGGTCCGCAGCAGAGACCAAGGCAGAGGGATTGAAGAATGCTGTTAGAGAAGCGCTAGATGCAGGATGGGATAAGGTGGAAATTCAGACCGATGTTATGACTATTGTTAAAGGCATTCGGCAAGAGGGAGGTTTTTCATATTTACATGTTGTTATGGATGATATTAGAAGGATGTTAGATACAAAGAGTCATTTTTTGTCTCTTTTTGTAGACGGTCTGCGAATCGTGTAGCTCATGCCTTGACAAGATCTCACGTTAGCATCTCAGATCAGTACAGTAGTTTTGATAGTATTCCCAGTTGTATTGCTAACCTTTTGGCTAATGACCTTTTAAATTAGTAAAGATATTGGATGTGATGAGTCAAAAAAAGGACGATGGAGCATGCATGTAGTGCTTAATTAAGAAAATGTTTTGTTAATTGTAAAAAAGGGTACAGCGACAAACAATTATTAGCTGTTTTGGTTATTTAAATTAAATGTCGTATATAGCAAGTGGTCCACGATTAAAAAAAAGCAAGTAATCCAATTCTAAAAAAACGTCGGCCAGGGAAAGTTTATGCAGCTGGGAAGAAGACAACTAACAGATGAGTTTAAAAGTGTTAGAGAAGGATAAATATGTCTTTTAATATGTTAATGATATAATAATAGAAATCAGCCCAAAAAGTAGGAGTTGGGTTACTTTTTATGCTTATAATAAAAATGAGCCAAATCACACCCCACCCTGTATATTCAGGCTTATAAGCCAATTTGTGATCCTCCAAACGACCACTAATTTTACTCTTGTTATACCTGACGAACGTGATCTGATTTTGTTCAATGTTCTTAGTTTTGATCCATTTATTGGGTTTTATGTTGAGTTATCATCTTTAAAAACTCAATACGTCGCCATCAATGAGAATTTTTAAACAAAAAGTCATCCTACCAAGTACCGACCCAATCAAAATGCCCAAATCTGGTGACATGACCCGGAACTGGAATGGCAAATAAATATTTCAAAAAATGGAAATACAATGCCACTGGAAGAAGTAATCACCTTTTGAGGAGAGTTACTTATATCCATTTGTTGTACACATTGTTTAGTTGTTTGTGTACGCAAAAGCTTCTGAATGAGCCGTCTGTGTATACAGACAATTAGGGATGTATACAACAAATGTGCACAGTGTACAAATAATTTTTTTCTAATCCTTTACTTACGCCCTGCAACCAAAGGAACTCAGAAATGTTGACATCTTTCCACACACCAACTGTGTATAGTACTAGAATATGCGATACGTTTTGGGAATTCTTTAAAAGTATGACTTGCATGTCAAGCATTTTGTAGTTCAAAAGATGTTAGATATTTCAAAATAAACGGATGTTATAAGAGATTGGAAAGTCCAGTTAAAAACAAAGAATCACTTGCATATGTGTACCTCACCCGTGTTGGCTTTAAAATGGACGATTAAGAGGTCGTTCGGCAACACTATTTTCGGCTAAAATCAGGCTTATCAATCAACTTTTTCACCAAACATGTAAATTTTTGCTTTCGCATGCTGAATTGTGTAAATGACCATTTACAAATAACTAATGTAGATGACCATTTTAGCTATTTTTACATATAATTTTTTCTTTATTTTATTAATCAACGGAATCAGCAAATGCAATCACTTCAGCCAGAATTCATAAATTTCAGCTGAATCAGCAAAATCAGTCAAATTTTGTGCTACCAAACGAGCTCTAAAACAGAATTCAATATCAAATTTCAAATTTGAATCAATAAACAAACTCATACTCCGTAAAAAACACGCATGGTTATCAAACAGTCAAACTCACTACTCCATTGTGCTCTTAAGTCTTGATTATCTCCTCCTTTCACGGCTAGATATTCCCACATTATGTGTTCCGTTCATCAAAACCATCACACTTCAACCAATTGAATTCCATCTATCATCGATGTTTTTATCACTTTAGTTTTCTTCTTTCTTCCTTTTTCATCCTCGGCCCTGTCCTCAAATTTTGTGTCAGACATAAGAGTTAAACTTTTGATACCATATTATATATCAAGCTTAATCACACTAGTAGCTACTAGCTAGCTCTTTCATCATATACTCTAAATATGACAGGTGGACCCATAGTATCTCTAAAAATTACTCCTCAGTCCCCCAAAATTCTTCCTAATTTGACAGGGATCAAAGTTTAAGAAAATGAGAATATATAGTGGAAATGTATGATTGTGGTTGAATATGAAAAAGGTGAATGAATGGTAGTCATACAAAACTTTCCAAAAAGGGAAATGAGAAGAATTTTTTGGAACGCTTCAAAAAGAAAAGTGAGAAGAATTTTAAGGGACGGAGAGAGAACACTTATTTACTAATATAAGTTAGTTTTGTCTGATGTTATATGGTCTTGTCTATTCTCTTTATGGCATGTTTGTTTGGGGGTTAACTTAGGTTATTGGAGGTTCAATTTTAAGTTAACCTCGTTTGTTTGTGTTTTTACAGCAAGAACCTAGGTTATGACTTAACTTCACTTGACTCCCGAGAACCTGGAAACACCTCAAATTGAAGAACCTCCGAATCGGGGGGTTTTGGAGGTTAAGTTCCCGTTCAACATAAAATAAACTAGAATACCTTCATCCAAACAACATTTATGATATTAACCTAGGTTCATCTTATTTATTTCCAAACGTCATTTTACGCATGAACCTGAGTTCACTTAGGTTAACCTAGTTTTTACTAAAACTTAGGTTTACTTTATTGCACTAAGTTTAGTTAAGTTCACTTTAT